ATTCAGTGAGGTACATTGACCACTTTATCATCAAACATGAACTAAGCTGCTTATCTTCAGAGTTCTCTAGGATTTTTAGAATTTAAATTTGCGTGTAATAACTTATGATTAAAATATTCCATTTCCAAATTTTCCTCCTGTATTATAATAGCTTTGATATATGGAAATACATAATCGGTTACAAACTTACACGTCTGTATAACTATAATTACCGGTCTGGAGGTCCCAGAAGCAATGATTTTCTCATATATTCTCGACACCATCCAATTTCATTTGAACTAATTACCCTCCCTCCCCCCCCCCCCGCCCCCGTGACATGCTCAGGGCATGAAATGAAATAATAAGTAAATGTAAATCGTGATCTAAAAATTAAGATACAATCAAATGTAGCTACTATATGCATGCTTGTTGAAACATCGAAACAATTTTATGAACTATTTTAGAAACATCAAGGTCTTCCTTAGTGTCTTGATATTATTACCATTTTCAATATTATTACAATTGACTGGCTTCATTACCACTCAAGAGTATCACGTTTTGCGGCTGGGTAAGTTACTTTGATGTACAGTTATTGCTTCAAACATGCTATGCTTGAACATGCTCTAAGGCATATTCTTTATACCGAATTGACAAATAAATCGTATCTGATTGAAGTCAGTTTTTTTCAAGGAAAATAAATTACAAAAGTGCATTTTATTCTTCGTTTTCGTTTAAAATCTCTCTCCGGTACAGGTTGAAATTATTTCTTTTTCACCATAGTATATATCGTAACTATAGAAGAAGAGTAACTCAAAGTGTAGCGAGGAATTATGTCATGGAAGCGAGTTATTCATGTTTGAGTAGCCATATGAAATTTAATGTTGTAAACAATGAGACGTTTTTTAAGAAAAAACCGAAACAATTTACTATAATAGAGCAAACATCACGGGGGAAAACCTTAGTTCGCAGTTTACTAACATAAACAGTTTGCTAACCTGTTCAGCAATTTGAGAGGAGAAATAACTTCGCGCTCTACTTTTGACGTTGCGAATGGCTTAACTCACTTATCCGGAGAGTGATTTTCTTTCTTTTCTAGCTGTTGTTTTATAGCATAGAGGTAAGCCGTTTTTAAAACAATTTTGTATTTTGTCTTATAAACTGATTACCAAAACTTCATCAAAACCTATGGTCAAAACTGCAAAATTAATATAAAATTTTTGACGTTTGGCACATTACAGTGCAATGTTTATACACCCAAACTTTATCAATTTTTCTAAACTTGTGTGGGGAAGGGATGAAATTCCTGGCAGTGTCAATCATTTGAGTTTGCTCTATGTTGTTTTCATCATAGCAAACATCAATGTTAATAGGTAAAGCATTCCCCCAGTGTCAGTGAGTCTACTTGTCACTCTGTTTTGATCCCGTCAACATCAATAAATTATTAACATGATCTTACTGACAGAAGTGTAGATTGGGTGTTGATAGTAAGATTTTTAGTAAGTAATTAGATTTTTGCTTCAAACAGTGTAAAATTTCAACCTCTTTTAGTTGTTGTTAAAGCCTATATAGATATATTATCTTGTTTGCCTTGTCAAATCCAAAGTCAATTTATCAATTATCCTGGCTTATAACTTTAGCTTCTTGCACCTTGTAAATAAATCTTGATCATCTTTCCATTATTATTTTTCAGGATTAATATAAAATAAATCAAGAGATGGTTGTCAGGCAAATTGTTGGAACATTGAACTGAGATGAATACAGCACAATCATAATACACATTGTTATGATTGCATGTGCACGTGCATTGTTATTCTTAATTACCATGCTAACTGATTTTGTTGTTGACTGGTGTTTTTATACCAATTGTTATTTTTATGAAAGAAATAATTAAATATCAACATGCATTGAATGAGCTGTGTGTCTTTAATCCACAGCCACTTTTATACCTTTCGTTTATGGTATCAACCTCCAAGAAGGCTGTATTTATTAGGCTAATCAGGAATAATAGAGCCCATGGAGGAATTAATAAAAAATTATTATCTATCAATATAACCAGGGGTCCAGGAATGCAATTAGACAATGCTGAAAACTTTTATAGCTCATTCAAGTAAAAGCTAATCACTACATGAAAAGTATATTATGCAAATATGAAAATATCTTGGTTGAAGCAATACTCCTGCACTTGCTATTAGTCAGCTGCCCAGAAACGATAATTAAATATCAAGCAACTTTGAGTTGCGATACCGCTTTGCTTAAAAGCAGGGGAGGGTCGCAAGGGTATTTTCGTGGCCTGTGATTTGCGTTATTTGTCTTAAATCACGAATCATTTCCCAGTCCTTCCGCTGCAAAGTCAACTAGTCGTGGATTTTCGTTGACCTTCGTACACTGTCGTCACATCTTCGTAGATGTCTCCTTCGAACCGGAGTGTTTCAACGACAGTGTGTGATGTATTGAGACACAGATGACAGAGCTGAACCCCATCGTAAAAGGCCTATAATTATTGAATGAATGAATGAATGAATATATAATTGATCATCCCTGAAAAGGGCTTTTCAGAATCAATATACTACGATAATTACAAAATATATAAGCTTAGAACTACTATAGGAAGTTAGTAAAATTAGAACTACTATGCTACTATATTTAAAAAAACTATATTTACATTGTTTATTTAAAACTGGGCATGCGTCAAATTGTTATTGATGGTCGATTAAAATTATCTTAATAAATCTTTCTTCAATCTAGTAATTATATAGTTATATACATATAAAATTATATACATTTTCATTGGTCTATGCGGAACTGTCTCAATAACTCTTTCTTCAAGTTGGATTTAAAAACACTAATTGATTCACATAGTCTAATATCAGAAGGTAACTCATTCCATAGTTTTGCTATACGATACTTAAAGGATTTCTGTCCTTTTGCACTTGTAAAAAGTGGCAAATTTAGCTGGTCAGATTGTCTAGTTGTCCTTCTGCTGACAGATTCTCTTGTGGTAAATAGAGAGCTCAAGTAATTGGGCCGGTGCCAATCCGTTCATACACTTGAACGCGAGCACTGCGCATGCGTCCCGGGAAAATAAACGCTTCTTTACTGGGATCCATTGCAACTCCTTTAGAATTGGGGTCACGTGATCATACTTCTGGAGTCCACCGATGATACGCGCCGCAAAATTCTGTACCAATTGAAGTTTCTTAATGTTTCCCTCAGATGTCGTGGACCAGACGGATGAACAGTAAAAAAGTTTACTAAACACCAGTGAGTTAATGATTGTAATAAGTAATTCTCTATCAAAGACATGCTTAACTCGGTTGATTTGTCCTAGGGCAGACGTACATTGGGCCGACACTTTAATAATATGTTCATTAAAGTTAAGATTGGGATCGAAAGTGACACCCAAGTCCTTTATCGATTCGTTTGGAGTAAATGTTTTCCCCAGTAAGGAGAGTTGAAAACGTTCGGGTAATTTAGCGACCATTTGCCTGCTTCCGTAAACCATTAATTGAGTTTTACCTGGATTTATCAGTAAAATATTTTGGAAGCACCAATTTCGGATTCTCACGAGATCTTCATTTATAAACAACATAGTTGAATCACATTCTTTGGTTGAAAAGCACGTGTACATTTTTGTGTCATCCGCATAACTTTCGACAGAGCATTTACTAGTTATTGAGGGTAAGTCATTGACATATATGCTAAACAGCAAGGTGTTCCTAAAATGCTTCCTTGGGGTCAGGGCCGGATTAACCTTTCGCGAGGCCCGTGGCATTTTTTCAGCGCGGGGCCCCTCAACCCCGTAAAGCATCAAAGCCTTTACTCACTGACCACAGAATTTTTGGGGCTCGGGTAAAAGGAGAGTAAAATCCGCAAAAAATAGCAATTTGTTACTACTGTAGCGCGTAAATGCATGACCGGAACATTGAGAGGTGTAAGAAAATTAATTTTGGGGCCATAGCAGTATTAGGGGGTTTGGGGCATCCCCCCCAAGAAAATTTTGAGTTTTAGTGTGCAGCAAATGCGATTTCCTGCGTTTTGGGTTGAGATTTCTGCAAAATCGAGTATAATATTGCATTACCTAAACTATAAATAACCTAAGACGTTTTCTGAAAGAGGCCACTATATATTTCCAACAACATGCAGTTTAATTTTATTCTTGCAGGTTTGGGGGGGTTTTGCGGGCAAATTTCCCCTTTGACCACCCCTCTGGGCAGCCCTGCCTTTACTTGAAGTTTTCAGTTTCTAAATTTTCCCATTACCCTAAAATTTTCTTGGGAGAATCTGGTGCAGGGGTGCCTTATTGGGCCTCGACTTTTGATTTCTAAGGCTTCGCGTTATTTATTTTGCTCCGATAGCTTAATTAATATATTCTTTAAAGGCATTTTTATTTATTTATGGGGCCTCGCTTTTTGGAGTCACTTTATTTTATTTTGTGGCTATGCGGCCTTGTGGCCCTTTTTCCGTCTCCCACGCACCGAAAAAAATTTGAACTGAGTAAAGCGCGGGGCCCCCAAAACCGCGGGGCCCGTGGCATATGCCGCTTCTGCCATATGGTTAATCCGGCCCTGCTTGGGGTACGCTACTTTCTAATTTTAAAGGTTCGGAGAGTATGGAATTAATACGGACGGACTGGTATCCATCGATATTATTGACGACACGATAAGTTGTATGCAATTATCATTCTGACAAATGCAAAAGTATTGCAATGTTTTTTCCCAACAATATTTCTAATGAATGTATAGATAAAGTTGTGATGAGTTTCATGTCACAGTAACTCACTGTTATTGAGATTTAGAGTAATGAGAATGAAATCCTTGTGTAATCAAACATAGAATAAGAATAAAATGTGTCTAAAATGTGTGTAAAACCCCACGTTTTTAATTTCTGTGGAGCTCTGCGGCGCAATTTTCCGTTTCGTAAACCGCCAGTGTCACCAGTGACAATCAGTGTCACCACTATTAGCGTGCGTCACATCCGGTGAATACGAAACGGAATATTAATAACAAAGGCTCGCGCGCTTTATGAACATGGCGGATGAGCAGGCCCACAAGAAATCGTTGAAAAAACCAAGTGGATGGAATCAATTCTATCAAGGAGTTGCTGTACGTATCAAATTTTCTATAAGATCAATTAGTTTATTTAAATACAGCAGTAAATCAACGCAGAATACTAAAACACGAAACTAGTCTAGAGAAAAATTTGCATAATTCTGCGATTTTACTCGTGAAGGCACGTTGTTCTTTTGTTGCGTTGTTGTATTGTAATAATCCAGCGTTCTACAATATCTGAATAAAGAGTATTAATAAAAGGGCATATTAGAGAAAACAAAAAGTAAAAATTTTTTTCAATTTGGAGATATTGTCTATTGCGTATATATTTACCAGAAAATTTTTACGCGAAACATTTTACTACAGTAATAATACAAACTATGTTGCGATATTTCTTTAGCCTGAGATAGCAAGTAGACTTGGGCAAGAACATGAAATAGGGAAAATAAGTAAAGTTGCTTCAGGGATGTGGCGGAAACTTGGTACATACAGAAGGAAGGTAATAATTTGTAAACAATATTTACAGGTTTCAGGAGCAAAACAATGGGCCCTTCCATTTAATTTCCTGACACCCCCCCCCCCCCCCCCCCCTTGAGTGACAAAGATACGGATTTTACACCCCTTTGGAAACAGTTTTCTGGACGACCTCGAGAATTTCAATATTTTTTGTAGAACTCAGAATTTATTATTTTTCAAGCTCATAGACCCCCTTGGGTTCCCCCCCTTGTTTAGAGGTAGCACCTTCCTCCTTCCAACCTTTGGAAATTTAAAAAAAATTGATCTCCTCAGAAATTGCCCTTTAACAATCCCCTCAAAAAATCAGAATGTTCAGACGCTATTAATTTGGAAAATCTTGTTCCCAAGGAGCTGTGGATATTAAATGGAATGATTGTTTAGATTTTATCATAGTTCATCAAAGACATTTTCTCCCTTAGGATCATTGGGCAATAGGATTGACCCAAAATAAATATTTTCTCTATGCAGGAATGGAGGGATGAAGCTCAGAGGAAAAGGGAAGACTGGGACACCGGTTTACTTGAGGTAGAGCAGAAATGCAAGTTATGTGACAAATCATTTGTACGTCAACGGGATCTGAGATATCATGAAAAAGGATGTGGCAAGATGCATTGCAGTGACTGTGGTAAAGAATTTTCTCATAAAGAATTCCTCAAGTCACATATTGTTAAGGAGCACCAACAAGCATTTAAATGCGATGAATGTGGGAAAGCATTTCACAGTAAGCGAAACCTAGGAAGACACCAGGTGACACATACCAAGGCAAAAGTAACATGTGAGGTCTGTGGGTCACAAATTAATAGTACTAGCCAAAAACGGCATATGAAACTGAAACATTGTTAAAGCTGTTTGTTACAAATGTAGGCTTTTTATAACAATTGATAGTGTTGGCAAATGCAATATAAACATCACTACAAGTATAAAGACTTGGAAGAGTATGTTCATGTTATTTTTTTAATTACTAATTAAAGTTCTCAACGTTCTTATTCTACTAGTCATGTTACTATTTAATTAATTCTAAACCCTTGGTCCCAACAGTTAAGACCAAGATTTGTTATGCATGGAAAATATGCTTAAAACTGACTTAACCTCATCTTCAAAAATGTCATTAAATATAACCATGAACTGAAGTTATACAAAGATATGTAACCAGATTAGTTCAAAATGACATACTAGAGTACTTCATGTGTGGTGGCTAGTTTTTGACTTCATTGTGTGTGAGGCCAAAGCTCAGGCAAGATGCTGGGCAGCTGACTAATGCTAAGTGCAGCTTGTACCTCAATGGGCTATAAAAGTTTTCAATATTGTCTAATTAGACCCCTGGCCATAGTAATGAATAATATTAATCCCTCCTTAGACTCCATTACTCCTGATTAGCCTAATGAACATAGTCCCTTGGAAGTTAATACCATCAACAGAAAATTAGAAAAGTGGGTGCAGATTGAAGACACACTGCTCAGTCAATGCATGTTTATATTTATTTTTTTCATAAATATAACAATTGTTATAAATACACCAGCCAACAACAAAATCAGTGAACATGGTAAGAATAACAATGCACATTCATAACGATGTGTATAATGTGCTGTATTCATCTCAGTTCAATGTTCCAGCAATTTGCATGACAGGCCACCTTTATTTCATAGCATCATAACTTCATCCTAAAAAATAAAAATGGAGAATGGAGATCTGATCAAGATTTATTCACAAGGTGCAAAAAGCTAAAAAATCAATTGTGAGCCATATGGTAATTGATAAATTGACTTTGGATTTGACAAGGCAAACAAGTTAATATATTATCTAGGCTTTATCATTCAGTATCCAAGATTGAAATTTTACACTGTTTACAGCAAAAATCTTATTACTTTGTATCAGCACCCACTCAGCAGTCAGCACTTTTGTCAGTCAGATTTTGTTAATTGATGATGGCATCTAGTAGACTGACTGGGGGAAAGGTTTACCTATTACATTGATATTTGCTATTATGAAAACAACATAGACCAAACTCAAAAGATTGACACTGCCAGAAATTTAATCCCTTCCCCACACAAGTCAAGAAAAATGATAAAGTTTGGGTACATATGTACCAAAGGGTCGAAAATAGTATATTTGCTGTTTGTATAACTATAAGTTCTGATGGATTTTATATTGGCTCAGAACCTTTGGTAATCAGTTTATACTATAGTCCAAAGGCAAAAAACAAAATTGTTATAAAAACCGGCTTACCTGGATGCTATAAAATATCAGCTAAATGAGAAAAAAACTCTACCGATAAGTGAACTAAGCCATGAATGGCAACGTCAGACCCTAGGTAGCCCAAAGGTAATTTGTGTTTTAATCTAAAGCGTCCATCCAGTTTAATATCGCGGTCTGTGATGTAAACACCAATTGCTATATTTGTATTATAATAAGATAAGGTTGGCAACTAAATATAAATTAACCACGTACACCCTCAAAACTATCGACAAAAAACATTGAAAATATGCAACATAACTCACTAAAAACATCAAAACAATAAAATTTGATGTTTTTAATTGCTCCCCAGTACATTTTCTTGTTGAAAACAACTCTAGAAATACGAAAAATTTAGCGATACTTTTCGTGTTGCCATAACGATGCGGGATGTCTTTTGCCTAGCACTGGTTTTCGATTCAAATGGCGAAGCAGCGACCTCATTGGCTCTTAAAATTGGCGAACACCAATTTAATTATTCGCCAATTTTAAGAGCCAATGAGGTCGCTGCTTCGCCATTTGAATCGAAAACCAGTGCTAGGCAAAAGACATCCCGCATCGTTACGGCGAAAAAATTCATGGCAACACGAAAAGTATCGCTAAATTTTTCGTATTTCTAGAGTTGTTTTCAACAAGAAAATGTACTGGGGAGCAATTAAAAACATCAAATTTTATTGTTTTGATGTTTTTAGTGAGTTATGTTTCATATTTTCAATGTTTTTTGTCGATAGTTTTGAGAGTGTACGTCGTTAATTTATATTTAGTTGCCAACCTTATCTTATTTATAATACAAATATAGCAATTGTGTTTACATCACAGACCGCGATATTAAACTGGATGGACGCTTTAGATTAAAACACAAATTACCTTTGGGCTACCTAGGGTCAGACGTAGGACACGAAGTTACGTCTGTTGAACAGGAAAAAAGCGGAACATTTTTATCCTTTTTATATGAAATACAAAAAAAATATATACCGAAAGCCGAAATTATTTTCATAAAAACCAGGAGGGAGATGGACACAGTTTTTCACCTTGTATCGCGGTATGTCAGTGGTAACTACCATGAGCAAAAGGAACCATGTTGTGGCGTCAGCAAAGCTCAAAATCCGCCATCTTTTTGGCGACACGATTTGGCAGCGAGCCGGTCCTCCAGGAATTTAATATAGCTCAGTGGATTGTCAGCATAGCAGATTACACTTACGTAGTTACTCACCGGATGTGACGCACGCTAATAGTGGTGACACTGATTGTCACTGGTGACACTGGCGGTTTACGAAACGGAAAATTGCCTCTGCGGCATTGAGGCAAGAATAGGAAGTTTTATGGTCATGCATAGAAATAAGAAAACTATCACGTAATAACATTGTACAATTATTGGAAGGTTTAGGTTCTGCCTTATTTTAAGAATAAGTACGCAGCGCGTATATGTCACTACCGCTCTGTCTTTGTCATCTGAGTGGTATCATGGATTTAGCTGGCAGAATAACTAGTGCTAAAAGTTGTACCCGTTTGTCTTGCATTTGGAGTTCGAAGTCGCACCATTCAGTTTACCTTTTTTCAAAGGTGACAGGTTGTGGATGTAGCCAATAACGGCCGGATTATTTCTTCGCGAAGCCATGAATATCGTCTGATTAAACTGATTCACTGAATCAGCGCGGTAAGCTGGGTGTGACTTTTTAACTAAAGCGCTTGGTTGACACTAGTGTACAGGGTGTCTTAAAAAAAACGCGGCCACTTAAATATGCAAGAATATTAATATTGTTCGGGTTTGCACCATAGTTCAGCTAAAATGACTTTTAGCATTTTAAATGAAGGATTAAGAGCCATTTTCAATTCCCAGAAGTGCGTATCTATTGCGCTTTAGAGCTGTATTAATGTTCTGCATATTTAAGTATTGCGTTTTTTTTGAGTCACCCTGTAGTCCAAAGAATGGGCCATGTCATTACCGGAGGTCATTGGTGCATGTATAAAATCCTTTGTCAGTCAGAGAAGAATACAATGGATCAGTGAGGATCGGCATATTATTATCACTGTCCATTGCTGATGATTAATGAAGGGGCTGATTCTTTCCCAAATTGAGCAGGCTATTTTACCCACCATGCCAATAATTACCACATTCATTGATCATATTCAATAATTGCAGTAAAGTTAATGCTGATGAAGACGATGCGTGACGATGTATAAAATAATTGGGATCACGTTCAGACCTCTTCGGCCGAAGCATAATTTTAGGTAGCTAGAATGACACAGCCTTTTATTTTGCGTTCCTGCCTCTACTTATGTTTACATAATTCATAAACTGATTGTGCATGTGAGCTATATGCTAAAGTTTCAGCAGACAGCATTCACATCTACAAATATTACATGTTACTATTAAAGTATAGAAACTTCATTTGGTTTTGCTACGCATCCGCCGTATTGATTAACTCCAAATTTCATAAAATATGAGCGATTAGCCGTTTTCCCATCAGAAGACAAACAAATCGTCTATAGACAAACAAATCGCCTGCTGTCGGCGGTCTGAAGGTGTCGTCTAAATACTGTAGCTGTTTTCACACTAGAAGACCATATATGTCGTTTAAATATTATTGATTATTTATATTATTTGAGTAAGACGTGCAAAGTTCAAACAGCTCAAAAATGTAAGCAAAACAACGTACATATAGAAAAGCTATGTTGATACTAAAATAATTTGCATTTGAACTGTATGTTTGATTGCACCGGAAAGGTTGGCGATAAATGGCGAAAACTGCCGAGTGTGACGTACAACAGTTGTGTGACGTAGTGCTGAGTGTGACGTCATGGTCCAAGACAAGCATTTAAGAAAGCAAGCAAGCAAGCAAGCAAGCAAGCAAGCAATCAAGCAAGCCTCTGGCATTACAAAAACGGATTGCTATAAGCTATACAATGTTTTTTTTAGACGGCTTGAAGTGGAGGGGAGATAATGTATATTCTTATTTCATGTTTAAAATTAGAAAATAAGACGGGCGTAAGAGGACTTTTACTCAATAAGGATATCTTTTAAAAAGCAAAGTACACATCTGCCGAAATTGGTTAAAATTCGGCAAGTTTTGTGCGTGGTCGTAATCAAATACCTTATTATAGGAGCTAGCAGGCCTACCATTGAACAACATGCTCATAAAGAGTCAAATTGCCATATAGATAAGAATTCTGAGGAGAGGTTTGAAACAAATGTCTCAAAGTCACCCAAAAATACCATTCATGCACATTCTAGTTGATTAAATTATCTGATGTCTGTAAATCTACTTTACTGATCTACTACGTTACTAGTTTCTTCTCAAATTGATTGCTTTTACTGTCTGATAACACGTATACAATAATAATAGGAAATGACAACCCCTTAAATATATTTTCAAGCTTCCAGAAATTCCAAAGTAACAACAACCGCATTCTATGATGAATCCCATGGTTATTCTCATATTTCTTTTCGGTTCATTCGCATCCATTTAACGTCTTGGTATTGTCATAATATCTCGATCAGAGTAGAATTTCATAGCTGCTATTGAATGTAGTAACACAATGTCAACAATTTGTTTATTTGTTGCACACAGTTGCAGTATCCCGAAAGAAAGTAAATTAAGCTCGATAAC